AGACCCGTGAGGGAGTGGGGGGGCCCGAGACCCGTGAGGGAGCTGGGGGGGAGGCCGCGGAGGGGCCCGGGTCTGAGCGGAACCATGCTCGGGTTCTGGCAGGCGAGGGTCCAGAGCCGCGTTCGGAGCCCCCACGAAGAAGGGACTTGGTGCTGGGAGCAGCTGTTACCTGCTGGAGCCCAAGCTTGTGATCTCGGGCAGGAAGTTACCGTGTAGAAGGGTCGTCAGGATGTTCTGCACGGAACACACGAGCCCTAAAGCCCTTCTCATTCCGGAAGAAGACCCTGGGCTTGGGTTAGTCGTTAAAGGAAAAAATTCTGACGCTTATTGAAACAGAAAGGAGGACTTCGTTTAGAAATATGGAAAGGGGCGCCTGGGGGGCCCAGTCGGCTAAGCCGGAGTCGGACTCCGGCTCAGGTCATGATCTCACGGTCCGTGGGTTCGAGCCCCGCGTTGGGCTCTGTGCTGACAGCCCCGAGCCTGGAGCTGCTTCGGATTCTGTGTCTCCCTCTCTCTCTCTGCCCCTTACCCGCTGGCACTCTGTATCTCTCTCTTCTAAAAATAAATAATAAAACGTTTTTAAAAATTGAAAAAATAGAAATATGTAAGTAGGTGTCAAGACCATCCCACGGGGCGGGGGTGGGGGGGTGGGGGAGGTAGCCGCTCACCTGTAAGTAATGTAGCGCGGGCCAGCTGGGGAAGGACCGCCCGCAGGCCCAGTGGAGGAGGCAGTGGGGACAGAGGAAACTGATCAGATTTCGGGGGGGGGGGTGGTGCAGGTTCTCTCCAAACTGACCCTGCAGGATTTTTATTTTTTTAAACGTTTATTTTTGAGAGATAAAGAAAGAGCAAGTGGGGCAGGGGCAGAAAGAGGGAAACAGACTCGGAAGCAGCTCTAGGCTTTGAGCTGTGGGCACAGAGCCCGCCGCGGGGCTCGGGGCTCGAACTCAGGAGCCCTGAGGTCATGACCGGAGCTGACATTGGATGCTTAGCTGACTGAGCCCCCCAGGCGCCCAGTGCAGGGTTCCTGATGGAAGTGGGCCGTGCAGGCTGAGGAGTGGAGGAGGCCTCCTGAGAAGACAGCTCGGAGACTGACTAAAATTTGGTCAAGGCCAGAGTTTTTGTAGCACTTCTCAGACGTCCCTGAGATCTGAGTGGCTGCTGGGAAAGACCTCTCTCTCCCAGTTTTTGTGGCTCTTTCTCTTTATTTGTGAATAAACAAGCGTTTGTGAATGTTACTTCTCTCTGTCATGAGAGGCTAATGTGGAGCCCGTAACTCTGAATTCATAAAATGCAGGAAGACAAGCTCGTCTTTGAAGTGTAATTATGGTGGACAACCCCCCGACCAAAGGCCAGCCTGCTGAAGGAGAACATTATTCAGACATGGGGAGAGAGGAAGATGCTGGCATTTCTTGTTTGTTTTAACCAGCAGTTCCTTTTGTGTCTAAATTAGCATTTTTAGAGCAGGAGTGAGTGACTACTTAGCTCAAGTTGGTTGACCCCATCCTCCCTTTTCTGAGGAATGGCTACTTTATTTTTTTTTTAATTTTTTTAAATGTTTTATTTATTCCTGAGAGAGACAGCGTGAGCAGGGGAGGGTCAGAGAGAGAGGGAGACACAGACTCTGAAATAGGCTCCAGGCTCTGAGCTGTCAGCACAGAGCCCGACGCAGGGCTCGAACCCACGAACCGCGAGATCGTGACCTGAGCGAAAGTCGGACGCTTAACCGACTGAGCCCCCCCAGGCACCCCTGGAATGGCTACTTTAAATGGAAAACTGAGGCGAGTGTCAGGAAGAAGAGGGGCATTGTCGGCAACTCACCTTACAAAAAAAAGTGTTAACCCAGGTTATGAGGTAACTGAAGAGGAATATTCTGTTAGGGGTTTAGACTCTGGGAGTCCTGAGGTTCGCCCGCAGCCGCCATTAGTTTTTTTCTGGGAAGAGGCCAACCAGAGGCCCAACCAGCTGAATTCTTGACTTTGGACCCACAGCCCCATGATCTCTTCTCATTGCCGTGGGGCCCACCTTGGTACAAGTCCGTGATGGCTAACAGGACTTCCTTGCACGAACATAGTGCTAGGGAAGGCACAGTGCCGTGTAGACATTCGTATTTAAGTGGCTTACAAGTCCTGCTGCTTGTCTCTCAAGCAGGTTTCCTCATCTTCACAAAGAGAGAATTGGGGGCACCCGCGTGGCTCAGTCTGTTAAGCATCCGACTTTGGCTCAAGTCACGATCTCATGATTTGGGAGTTTGAGCCCTGCATTGGGCTCTGCGCTGACAGCGCGGAGCCTGCCTGGGATTCTCTCTCCCTCTCTCTGCCCCTCCCCCAGTTGCGTGCCCTCCCCCTCTCTCAAAATAAAAAAACAAAAAAATAAAAGGAAGAGGGAATTGTGCCAGCCGGGTATTGCCAGAGCTTCCCCTCAGCTCTCTAAGTCCGCAATTCCATTCCCCAAAAAGACTTCATTTTAGGCTGCATGGGGCGTGACTGAAACTCATTTCTGAGACCGTGCATGGTTTTGATCATTGGTAGGATGGGTTTCTGTCAGTAGGTACTTGATAAATATGAGCCGAACACCTATGAAATCAACAAACTGGTTCTTTAATGATGCTGTTGGTCTGGCTTCGTGTTTCTTCTATTGAATTCCTGCAGTACGCAAGCCATAGGGATTCGAAAGAGCCCAAGTCCCACAAAATACCCGTTACCCCTAGACCTCAGGTAAGCCTAGCTACTAGCCCTTCCTTGCTCCATTTCTCAGGGACCGTGGTAAACTGTCCCTGTGGTAGCACACTCTGCCGTTCAATAGCACACCTGCTGAGACCTCGTGTGCAGAATGGCCTTCGAAGCCCCGTCGCTTGGCCTGGGTGTGTGACATGCTTTGACCGGTAGGATATGACTGTGTGTCGGTCCTGAGCAGAGATCCCAGGTCTCACGTGTTTCCACTTGCACCTCTGGGAGCTTTTGTTCTCTGCCGTGACAAAACCATGCCTAGGTAGTCACTGCCCCTCCAGCCTGGGCTCCAGAACGAGACTCGTTCTACACGCCCACCCTGTGAAAATGCTATCGAGTGCTGGCGTGCCTTGTTCTTTAGCCTTTTGTGACAACGGCTAATTGAGACAGTGTCAGTGGGCAACCTTGGACTTAGGGCTCCCAATGTTGGCCTTCACA